CTTGCATTATAGAGTTTGAGGGTAGTTGGGACAAACACTTAGCTTTGATAGAATTTGCTTACAATAATAGTTACCAATCGAGTATTGGAATGCCTCCCTATGAAGCCTTATACAAAAGAAAATGCCGAACCCTTCTTTGTTGGAATGAAGTTGGTCAAAGAAAGCTTGTTGGTCCTGAAATTGTGCAACAAACAGAGGACAAGGTAAAAATTATCAAAGATCATCTAAAAATTTCTTCGAATAGACAAAAGTCGTACGCTAATCTTAAAAGGCGTGACATTGAATATCAAGTTGGAGATAAAGTATTCTTAAAGGTGTCTCCATGGAAAAAGATTATGAGATTTGGCCAGAAAGGAAAACTTAGTCCCCGATTTATTGGACCTTATGAGATACTTGAAAGGGTTGGACCAGTTGCATATAAATTGGCTTTGCCACCTCAGTTAGACAAGATCCACAATGTCTTCCATGTTTCTTTTCTTAGAAGATATCGTTCTGATCCATCTCATGTTCTTATATTATTGTCTCTATTTAACCTATAATATAGTCACAATAAAATTTTGTCACAAAAAATAATTACATGTATTCTTCTTCCTCCTCTTCTTCTTCTTCCTCTTCTTTCTCTTCTTCTTCTTCTTCTTTCTCTTCATCTTCCTCTTCCTCTTCATATTCTTGCTCTTCTTCTTCCTTCTCCTCTTCTTGTTCTTTTTCTTTTTCTTCCTCCTCTTCTTCTTCTTCTTCCTCCTCCTCCTCTTCTTCTTCCCCCTCCTCCTCCTCCTCCTCCTCTTCTTCTTCTTCTTCTTCTTCTTCTCCTTCTCCTCCTCCTCTTTTTCTTCTTATTCTTCATCATCCTCTTCCTCCTCCTCTTCCTATTTTTTTTATTTTTCATCTTCTTCATATTCCACTTCTTCTTCTTCCTCTTCCTCCTCCTCCACCTTCTACTCCTTCTCCAACTCGTCCTCCTCCCCTCATCTTCTTCGTCCTCTTCTTCTTCTTCTTCCTCTTCCTCTTCCTCTTCCTCTTCCTCCTCTTCCTCCAATTCTTCTTCTTTTTCCTCTACCTCTTCCTCTTCCTCTTCCTCTTTCTCATCCTCTTGTTCTTCCTCTTTCACCTCTTATTCTTCCTCTTCCTCTTATTCCTCTTCCTCCTCGTCTTCCTCTTCCTCTTCCTCTTCCTCCTCCTCCTCCTCCTCCTCCTCCTCCTCCTCCTCCTCCTCCTCCTCCTCCTCCTCCTCCTCCTCCTCCTCCTCCTCCTCCTCCTCCTCCTCCTCCTCCTCCTCCTCCTCCTCCTCCTCCTCCTCCTCCTCCTCCTCCTCCTCCTCCTCCTCCTCCTCCTCCTCCTCCTCCTCCTCCTCCTCCTCCTCCTCCTCCTCCTCCTCCTCCTCCTCCTCCTCCTCCTCCTCCTCCTCTTCTTCTTCTTTCTAATCATTCCATATACAAACAATAGCTATACAATTGTTGTTTAACAAATCGCCCATTGATAAGTTTTTCTTTCATACCACCCACCAAAAGAAAGATATTTTATAAGGTAGACTAGTAACCCACATTTTACTAAAAACCCATTGTTGCTCATCTTTCTTGTTGAATGATTAAGAACGATATTTTTCATTTGTTGAATTATGAGTAATTATAAGTAGATCTATTCAGTGAATTAAATATGATCAAGATATTGATTAGTGTGTTTAGTAGCTTAAATAATTTATATGGCTTATTAAGATGTTGAGTCCTAGTCTCGGACTACATTAAGTAATTTTATTGTAGCAAATGCTTGGTAGGTTTCTAAATTGTTTTTCTTGTATGGTAGACTGAGTATAGAATTAAAACTTTGTAAGTTGATATTTGTTTGAATTCTTGAGTTGAAAACTTGGAACTAGTAGTAGTAGTCGTTATTGGGGATGACAAAAGATCTACAAAATAAAGAAACTGACGAAATAGTGTCAATGTAGTAGGTGGGGTTTTGTCAATATGAACTCCAACATGATGCATGACTCTTTATAAATCTACGCAATTCACGCAACATTGTCTGTAATTATTTTATTTTGTTCAATTGTCAGGGATTAGTTAAATGGTCCATTAAATGGTCCTATACTCTAATACTTTACAAGTTAGATGTTGAGTTAATATAGTTCTCAAATATAAGCATTTTGATAATTCACGTGTAGTAGGTTGTTCGAGGATAATGATATGTTCCTTGCTCTCCAAAATAAAATAAAAAGTTCTTGCCAGGAATAGTCCTGCTCTCCCAAAATGACCTTCATATAGGTATGCTTTGCATTTATATTTAGTGCTTATAAAATTGATCATTAAAACATATTTAATATATAGATTGTGTTACAGATTCTATCTTTTTACCTAAATATGAACACCTTGTAAATTAAATCATAATTTTGTTCTCTTTTTTTTCACAAGTATATGAGGTGAGAATTGAATCAAGACTATTTTCAAAGCTAAATGTCGCCATATTTTTGTTACTTTAAAAGATCTCCACGTATTTGTCTTAGTTAATGAGTAATATTTTGTATATAAGTATTGAACATATTTACTTTTATTAAGGAGCTTGAAATGAGATATTACCTAGTATAGTTTTAGTTGATCTTTATTGTATGATCATGGGTGTTTTATTATTCTATTTTCAATTTATGCAATTTAAAATTAAAATATAATACCAATATGAAATAAATAAATGTCATCAAATGGTTTTAATTAGTGGCAAAAGATTTAAGTTTTTGTGACGACTATATCAAACTTTTCAAGACATATTTTCCTCACAAATAAAATTAGTTTGTCATAATTGAATACATTTAGTGACAAAATATTTGTTCTAGTACCCTCCTTATTGAATATGAATTAATTTTATACTTTATAACAATTCTAATTATTACTAATCATGTCAATCTATAGTGACAATTCTATGTTGTAAATATTAATCATACATTTAGTTACAATATGATATATTTAACTACAAAATTCTTAACCTTTTTAATATTGATAATTTTGTCACTAATTTACACATTTAAGGACAAAACACTTTTTTCAATATAAAAGTAGTCTTTAGTGACGAAATTTCTTTCGTTCCACTATGAAATATATAGAACTTTAGAGACAATTGGTATTGTAACTAATTAAACAAAATAATTAGTGAAAATTATTGAAAATAACGCTCTCTAAACCTGAAAACCTTTAATCCCTAATTACAAGACTACGCCGTCGTCCATGGCCACCTCGGCCACTGAGCAACCCCCATTGGGGGTTGCTCAGGAGAATCATGATAACAATACAAATACTACTATAAGAGGTATGAATTATGCTGCTACCTTGCAACCTACACCTATGAACAAGATAGCAATACCCAGAAAGCCAGTCTCATACCTACATGGTTAACCAAGGGTGATATGGGAAGAGGACGAGGTTTCACAGATGATAGTGAATGAAGATTTGCAATATGCAGTGATAGGGAAATTCTCGTATGGCTGGCCGAACATGTAAGATCTGAGGAAACTATTACCAAAACAGTGTGAACTCAAAAATGAATGCACAATTGGATATTTGAGCAGTAGGTATATTCTTATACGTGCATCCAGTATGGAGGATTATGTTCACCTATTATCAAAGCCAGTGTTCTACATAGGTCATCAGAATTGGTTTTATCCGATGCGCACCCTTAAATGGGATCCTCTGTTTGACCCTAAAGAGGAAACAACAATTGCTATCGCATGGATATCCTTTCTATCATTGCCTTCGAATTTCTTCGGTAAAGAAACAGTTTTTTCATTAGCAGCTGCGGTAGGCAAACCTTTGCAAGTAGACATGGCAACATCGAATAAGACAAGACCAAGTTGTGCGAGGTCGAAGGTAGAAGTGGACCTGCTGGGGAATTTCCTAAGGGAATCAACATTGGAGTGAGAAATAAAGCTACAGGAGACATCAAGGAAAAATGGATAACAATCAATTATGATTACATCCCAAAGTACTGTAAAACATGTAAGTTGCAAGGACATAATGAGAAAGAATGTTACATTTTGCATCCCGAACTATATCCAAAAGAAGAGGAAGAAGAAGGGAATCAGAAACACAAAAACCAACATACAGATGATAAGAAGACTGAGGACGGGACAAAGCAGGAGATAGCAGACAGAAGAAATGAAAGTAAAAATGATTTCCAGGGACAAAGAAACAAAGGAGGGGGAAAGGGTAGATACAATAGTAACAAAGGAGGCATAACTCAAAGATGGAGCCAAAAAGTAACTCAAAAAGAAAGGGAGGAAATTGTGAATGCCAACAAATATAGTGCATTAGAGATCTTGGAGGACAATGCTAAAAAACAAGTCACTCAGAATGAACACACACGAGAAAAAGCAATACCACAAGAATCCACAAAAAAATGGGTGGAGGAGTCTTTTGCGAAAAAGCTGGCAAAGAAGACTGAAGAACTTTGCAGTGAAAAGGAAATGTTGAACTGGTAGAAGTTGACCAATCAAAGGAGGAAGAAACAGAAGACCTAGTGGAAGAAGGTGAAAAAAGAGGGGAAGAGGACAACAAACAAAAGGAGGCACATTGGCAAATGATGGAAAGCATGGGCGAGTCAGGGGAGGTGGATGTACAAGGAACAAAGCAAGATAATTCAGGTTGTATAAGCTTGGATTTGACCAAAGATACTACTGTACTACCACAAGATGAAGGTGAATCAAGGTTCGTGCCTCAACATAATGAAGACAAGATAGTTGAAGAGGAGGAAGAATTAACACAAGCAGCTAAGGAAGTAAGTGTCACCGGTGATTTATCACTAAGACATGCTAAGGATATGAGAAATACGATAAAAAAAGGGAAGAACACAAGATTAAAGGAAACTCAAATAAATACAATGAGCAGTTCGGCAAGGTCATCGCCATCCAAATGATGATTGACACACTTTGTGTTTGGAATATAAGATCAGTAAATATGCAAGATTCTTTTGAGCGTATTATGGATCTTAAGAGGAGAAATAATTATTCATATATAGCCCTAATGGATCTATTTCAAGGGCCTCAAAAGTTAGTGAAATACCGAAGGAAGCTTGGTATGAAGAATGCAATGGTGAACACTACATCCAAAATTTGGGTTTATTGGAATACAGAATTGGAGAGAGAAGTGATGAGAGACTCATATCAACAACTAACAATAAAATTCAGACATGTTACATGTCAGAAGGAGGTCGTCATCAGTACAGTGTATGCTAGGTGTACCTTATTGGAGAGGTTAGAATTATGGGAAGACCTTGAAGACATAGCAGCAAATGTAGATGTCCCATGGATAGTGGGAGGAGATTTCAATGTGATATTAGAAGAAACAGAGAAGTTAGGCGGACTACCAGTCACTCAACAAGAAACGACAGACTTTGCACAATGTCTGAGTTCTTGTAATCTCTCAGAGATAACATTCAAAGGTAGCTCTTATACATGATGGACCGGGAGAATTGAGGAGGAATGCATTTTTAAAAGGTTGGACATAGTTCTTTGAAATCAAGAGTTTCTGCAACAATTTTCAGCAAGTGAAGTTCACCATTTGATAAGACAAGGATCAGATCATGCTCCTCTACATATGATATGTAAAACTTTGCAGGGAAACATAATAAAACCTTCCAGGTTTTTAAATTTCTGGACTAAACACAAGAAGTTCAAGGAGGTTGTACAAAACCAGTAGGCTAGCAGTGTTATGGGAAGCCCATTCTTTGTGGTCCATCAGAAATTAAGAAATTTAAAAAGGGCTCTCTCACAATGGAGCAAGGAAACATATGGTAACATCTTTGAGAAAATAGATGCCCCGAAGGACATATTTAAAGTAAAGGAGCAGCAAATGGAGGTGGGGCCCACAAATCAAAATAAGAAAGAACTTGCTAAACCAGAAGAAGTAGTCAAAAGTTACTATCAAATAGAGGAACAATACGGGAAGCAAAAGGCTGGGATGCAATGGTTTAAGGAGGGTGATAAAAACACAAAATTCTTTCACTCGTATGTGAAAGGACGAAGGAGAAAATTGATGATATGGGAGATCCAGATAGAGGATGGGGAAGTATTACAAAATACAAATAGCATAGGGGAAGAGGCAGTAAAAGTGTTTAAAGAATAGTTCAAAGAATCACAGAGAACGGAGGACTTTGATATGTTGAAAGTGATCCCTAAAATAATCACAACAGAAAAAAATAAAGAAATGACGAGGGCTCCAACATTAGAGGAAGTTAAGATGACAATGTATAGCTTGAATAAACATAGTGCGTGTGGACCCGATGGTTTTTCGGGGGAATTTTTTCAATCCTGTTGGGAGATAATCAAAGAGGATATATGGAGAATGGTGATGTCATTTTTCTGTGGTGGTGAGATTCCTAAATTCATCACACATACTAATGTTGTGTTAATCCCAAAAAAGGACAAGGTGACCAGGTTTACAGATTTAAGACCAATCAGTCTCAGTTCATTTGCAAACAAGATTCTGTCAAAGGTGTTATATGAGAGGTTGCTACCAGTATTACCCAACATCATCTCAATGAATCAGTCGGGATTCATGAAAGGAAGAAGCATTACTGAGAATGCTATTCTTGCTCAAGAGATTATTTGAGATATAAATAAAAGGCATGATTGTTATAATGTGGTGGTTAAATTAGATATGACAAAAGCCTACGATAGGGTATCTTGGATTTTTCTTACAAAAGTTATGAGGGGGTTTGGATTTGATGAACGAATCATTGATATGGTGTGGCGATTAATATTAAATAACTGGTTTTCCATTTTGGTGAATGGACAGACCTTTGGTTTTTTTGAATCAACAAGAGGGTTGAAGCAAGGTGACCCCTTATCACCTACTTTGTTCATAATTGCCGCAAAGGTGTTAGCGAGAAGCCTCAACAATTTAAATGATGATGCAGATTTCAGAACTTTTGGCAAGCCTAAATGGAGTAAAGAGATTAATCATTTATCATATGCGGATGATAGAATATTATTATGTTCAGGGCACAAGCAATCAATGAAGAAAATGATGAAGGTATTAAGAGGATACGAATACGTGTCTGGGCAGCTCATTAATCTCACTAAAAGCTATGTATATTTGCATGAAAAAGTACCAACAGTTGTTTGTCAAAGGATTAGGAGAATTACAAGCATAGCTCAAGGAGCTTTCCCTTTCACTTACCTCGGTTGTCCTATTTTCTATGGAAGGAATAAGAAGTCACACTTTGAAGATTTGATTAAAAAAGTGATGAGAAGGGTTACAGGATGGCAGCATAGATTATTAACATATGGAGGAAGATATGTATTAATTGCCCATATTCTACAATCAATGCCTATATATCTATTATCTTCCATGAACCCTCCGAAAGAAGTAATAGATCAAATTCACAAGATTTTAGCAAAATTCTTTTGGGGTCATATAGGTGGAATTAAAGGGAAACATTAAATCGCTTGGGAGACGTTATGTTTACCCAAGGAGGAGGGTGGTCTAGGATTTCGATCCCTACATGATGTTGTTGATACTTTGTTTGCTAAGCTTTGGTGGGTTTTCAGAACATCCACCAACTCGTTATGGAGTGAGTTCATATGGAACAAATACTGCAAAAAATGGCACCCTGTTATGGCACAAGGGAATGGAGGGTCACATGTATGGCGAAAAATGATTAAAATTAGAGAGGAGGTTCAACATAGCATCTAGTGGCAAATCAAGTCAGGAGAGTTGAGTTTCTTGTTTGACAATTGGACAAAACCAGGGGCTCTATACTATGTGGAAGAGGACAAAAGGGGGGAAGAGGAGATTGAGGTCAGAAGCTTCATAACTGGAGGACAGTGGGATAAAGAAAAGTTATTGCAGTATGTATCGGAGGAGATGACTGATCATGTAATGACCAATATCTCATCAATAATCAGTAATGGGGAACAAGCTAAACCATGGTGGACGAACAGTGCGAATGGGAGGTTCTCGTTGAAATCAGCATGAGAACTAATAAGGAAGAAAAAGAATAAGGAAGAAAAGTATGAGCTAATTTGGAGGAAAGAGTTGCCTTTGAAGATCAATTTTTTCCTATGGAAAGGAAGGATTGCCATTGATGATAATTTGGACAGAATGAGAATTAACATTGTATCTAGATGTTGGTGTTGCGATACACAACAAATTGAGACAATGTCCCACTTATTTCTAGCAGCCTCTATAGGCCAAAAGCTATGGCGATATTTTGCTTAATGTGCAGGTGTTGAGATGGAAGGCAGAAATATGATGTAGACTATAAAATGTTGGTGGTATGCTGAAGCCCCTAGCAAACTCAAGACTGTTCTTAGAGCTATTCCAGCATTGATACTATGGAGCTTATGGAAGAGACGAAATCATATTAAGCATGGAGGGCAAATCAAACAGGAAGAACTAATAAAACAGGTAACAAAGAACATTCAGTTACTGACAATGGGGAGAAACGCAAATCTTAATTTTTCTGGAAAGACCTGGGCAGAGATTGTAAATATAGGATCATACAAGCCTAAAATATATTACCATATTGTTCAATGGAAACCACCAATGATGGATCAACTGAAATGTAATACTGATGGAGCTAGCAAAGGAAATCATGGAGAGAGTGTTATTGGGATGTGCTTCAGGGACATGAATAGAGATATTATTTATGCTCAAGCAAAAAGAATAGGATTTTCCACTAATATAGAAGCAGAGGCGAAAGCAATCCAAGAAGCTCTAAAAATCAGCTCTAGGAAGGGGTTTTAAAATCTTTTGATTGGGACTGATTTCCTTACTCTAAGGAACATCATACAGAGGACTTGGAGAATACCTTGGGAAATTGCAGAAATAATGGAAGATATAATGAAGGAGATGGGGACACAGAAGGCAGAAATCAAACATATTTTTAGGGAAAGCAATCAGCTAGCAGATTATTTAGCTAACCTAGCTATTAATAAAAAAGAAATACAAGAGTTCAATGATACCAACAGCAGGAAAATGCATCACAAACATGGACAAAGCACAGATTCCATCCATCAGAATAAGAAACAAGCAAATAAGGCAACATGATGACACATGATCAGACATATAGACAGACAGGGGAGGGGAACAGCAAAGCATATTACAGAGAAGCAAATCTTCAGAAGGGGATTATTACAACTACTAAAATAACTGTTTTGCTAATCTACATTAGCACAAAAAAATGGTTGACAACAAAGCCTGAAAGCAGCATCATGGAAGACACTCAAGCAAGGAGGTCAACACAGTGTCCATGCAGACATGAAAATGCAGCACAATAGCAGCTGACACAGAATACGGAGGAGTCAGGAAACAATAAAGAAAAGGAAAGAAGGGATAGAAAAGAACCTGGAGCTGAGCTGCATCCCAAAGAAAAGAGCCAAAAGCGCAGGCGAGGAACAGCAACGAACATCTGGGAGATTGAGATGGACAGATCGAAAGGGGCGGTGGTTCTATCCACTTTCCTAATTAAGGAAGAAAGGTTAGGTAAAGATGTGCTGGGGAGGTTTTTTTCTTATTGGGCCCTTTGGCCAGACTAATGTTTCTAAAAGATCTTTATTAATAAAATGGCCTTCAGGCCGGAAAAATTCAATTAAAAAAAAAAACAAAATAATTAGTGATTAAATAGCTTTGTCGGTGTTATTAATTTTATTAGTGACAAAATAATACTATCAACTACGAAAGATTAAGCTTTTCATGACAAACAAATTCGTCACAAATGCTATGCATTTTGGGATGATTTTCTTATTTTATAGTTAATGGAACTTCGTTAGCAACGAAGCACTAAATTGTCTTTATATACATTTAGAGACACATGTTTACTGACTACTGAAAGACGAAATTTTATTCGTCACACAAGTTTTTGTGACGAAATATGATTTCTAAATGACGAAATGATTTGTCCCTAATAATCAAATTTGTTGTAGATATATATATATATATATATATGATTTTCGTTACATGACTATTAAAGAAGAAGTGCACATTTTAAAGTGTGGCATAAATTCAAGGTTGTTCAGCTGTGTGTATGTGCGTGTGTGTATATATAAGTCGATCAAAGTTGTACAAAATATTCCTGTGGTTAACACTATTTTTAAAATTAATTATATATAAAAAATATATATATAAAATTGAACAATCCTCCTCTACTCAATGTATTATTTTATTTTATTTTTCCTTTAAAGGGAGTTCTTATAAAAGAAGAACTCAAACACATTGTTAATACAAAATAGGGTTGCCACTACAAGTTTCCAATGATTAGATGTTTGAAATCTTGATTAATTATTTTTTTAATATTCATAATATTAAGTTGGAACAATTACTTTGGTTGGTTTACGATGATTTCGAGAGAGAAAAATATAGTAAAATAACATATGTCAATTATGAAGTAATTTCAATGTTGAAGAATTACTTTATTGGGATGAAACCCGTCAAAACATTAGATTTTAATATATACAATTAAAAAACTTTTGTTGGTGTAACACCTCGCCATTTGAAAGAACTAGAAAAAGTTAGAATTGGAAATAGTCATTCTAGGAAAGAATGAAAAATTTGGAAATTGGTTAAGTTTGAGTTTTAGGTAAACTTCAAACAATCATAACTCCTAGTGCAGGATGAGTTAGGTGTGCTTGAAATATACCGTAGGAAAGATCTTGGAATTTTGTTTCCAACGCCACCAAGTTTGCACGATTCTGAGTTTGTATGAGTGAAATATGGCCATCTGTATGTGGGTTGTTCAAATAAGGAGAGTCTAATCCGGATTTTGGAAAGGTAGTTTGGTCTTTTCATTACCTAATTATTTTATTTCATTTTTGGGAGTTTAATTGGGGTCTAATTAGAATTAGATCAGTTGAGACAATTGGAAATTCACGCTAGGGCTTGGAGAAAAAGAGAAAAGAAGAGAAAGGAGAAGAAAGTTCAAGATTTGTCAAGATCGAGTTTGGTTGTGGATTTCGCCAAGGATTCAATCCTACGAGGTATGTGAAATAACATAGCGTTGATCAAAGTTATACAAAATATTCATGTGGTTATCTCTATTTTTAAAATTAATTATATATATATAAAAACTAATATAAAATTGAACAATCCCCCTCTACTCAATGTGTTTTTTATTTTATTTTTCA